AGGGCTCCCCTCCCCTGCCAGCCAGGTGAGCAGGGGTGCTGAGGGCTCCCCTCCCCCACCAGCCAGGTGAGCAGGGGTGCTGAGGGCTCCCCTCCACTGCCAGGTGAGCAGGGGTGCTGAGGGCTCCCCTCCCCCACCAGCCAGGTGAGCAGGGGTGCTGAGGGCTCCCCACCCCCAGCCAGGTGAGCAGGGGTGCTGAGGGCTCCCCACCTCCGGCCAGGTGAGCAGGGGTGCTGAGGGCTCCCCACCCCCGGCCAGGTGAGCAGGGGTGCTGAGGGCTCCCCACCCCCGGCCAGGTGTGCAGGGGTGCTGAGGGCTCCCCCCCCCACCCCGGGCCAGGTGAGCAGGGCGCCTGCCTCACCTGCAGCATCTGCAGGGGCGTGTGCTTGTCCCTGTCTTCCAGTGGCAGCAGGAGCCTCTCCAGGGCGTGGCTCCGCCTCTCCAGTGTGGCCGTGCTCTCCCGCAGCCTGGCCACTACCTCGTCCTCCTCCTGCTTCAGGGCCTGGAGGAGGCATTGCTCCTTCTCCAGCAGGAGGACGCCCATCTTCTCAAACTCCAGCAGGATGCGCTGCTTGTGCTCATTCACCTTCACCTGCGGGGGTGGGGGGCGGGTGTGAGGCACCTCCTGGGGACCTGGTGCCCCAGGGGTCCACTCTCTTCCTGGCCAGCTGCACCCACCAGCTGGGATGCTGGCAGCCCTCCACCCCAGGGCGCTGACAACCCCCAGAAAATGAGCCGTCCCTGGAGGGGTGGGAGCGTCTGGGGTACCGGGCGGGGTATGCAGTGGACCCTTGGTCCCGTGTCCGTGCCGCAGCCAGCCTGGGCCGAGCGCATGTTCCGGATCCTGATTCTAGTGGGGCCTCCGAGCTCTGGGTGCGTCTCATCCACACAGGACAGCGATCTCCCCCCGCCCCCCACCCCACGAGGCTGCTGTGTGTGCACACCCCGGCCCCCAGCACCTGCCTGCCACTCGGCCAAGGTCTGTTTCTCCCTGGCCTGCAGCTTCCCCGTCTTCATCATCTCCTCCCGAAGGTACCCCATGTCCGCCTCCAACTTCAACTGTGGGACACAGACAGCAGGATGTAGGGTCAGGGCCCCTCACACCCTGGCATCTGGACGGCATCCCCTGAAGCTGCACCCCCCCAAAGAACACCATGAGGGGGTGCTGGGGGTGGACACACGCCACCCAAAATGTGCCCCTTTGCAACAGTTATTTTGGGCTGGAACCAATCGAGAAGGAACAGTGGCAGAAAGACACCTTCCCAGGGCTCTCCTTTTCTGAATGAGCACCCAAACTTCTGAGAAGTGAGAGGTGCCCTGAATCCCCTCTCCTGGGAAGTTTTATGGCCGAATCGGAAGAAGGACCGTGGGCCAAGATGCATCTGCACTAATGCCCCTTCTCAGCCATGAGTTTCCCTGTATTCACTGCCTGCTGTGGTTTGCATGTGTCCTCCCAAGCTCATGTGCTGAATCCTAACCCCAGCACCACGGTGTGAGGACCGGGGCAGGGGGGGTGATGAGGCCACGAGGGTGGAGCCCCAGGAATGGGATTAGTGCCCTCGAGCCTCCCGCCCAGTGAGGACACAGGGCAAAGACTGCCACCCAGGAACCAGGATGCGCTCTCTTCCCCAACGGTGCTGGAGCCCTGACTGGATGGACCTGGGGAGGGCCTTCTTCAGCCTAGACTCCCGAATAACCATGGCCTGGCTGCCCACTTGGTCGTGGGTCCGCGCAGACACTCACCACCCGGTCCCACACTTGGGCTGTTGGTTATGGTAGCCGTCCTCCTGCCTGCCTTCTAACGTGTGCACTTGCCCCCTCCTGCATTCCCCTGCCCCCAGCCCTGGACCCACCTTGTACTCCTGCACGGCCTCCTCGATGGGGACCACCCTGTGGGACCGGTGCGCCCGGGACTCCCTGCAGACAACACAGATGGGGCTCTGGTCGTCCTCACAGAAGAGTTTGAGCAGCTCCTGGTGCACCCTGCAGAGGTCCCGGCTCTGCAAGGCTGGGGGCCGCCGCACCATCTCGGCCACCTTGGTCAGCAGGCGGTTGGGCCGCAAGTTCCTCTGGGGGGACAACTCGCGGCACTCGGGGCAGGGGAAGGAGCCCCTCCGCTTCCTGCCCCCTTTCCTGCCTTTGGCCTTCTCCCAGGTTAGCCGGATGCACTCGCGGCAGAAGTTGTGGCCACAGGCGGTCATCACGGGATCCGTGAAGTAGTCAAGGCAGATGGAGCATGTGGCCTCCTCCTGCAGCTTTCTGGCAAGTTCCAAGGCATCCATGTCTCCTGGGGAAGGAATACAATGTCCCTCACACCCTCCTCCAGGGACTCTGTCTTTGGCTGGCCCCACCCACGTTAGGGAGAATCATGCTAAGTTGGTTTAGAGTGCCCCCCAATATGATGTCTGACCTAGTTCTCAGCCCCCCACTGACCTGTCTAGAGCAAGATTCCTGTTAGGCCTGTCTGGCAAGAATCCCCTCCCCATGGCACCTCTTCATGATTTTCCATCACTGACCCACCCCCCCACCCCTCTGCTCTTTGGCCATAAATCCTGACTTGTGCCCCCTATGTTGACATGACCCAGTTCTCTGCGGGGATCTCTTTACCCCTATTGCAATAACCCTGAACAAAGTGTTTCTACTGTTCTAACTATGGACTGGCTGTGGTCTTCCTTGACAAGGTGTAGTGTGCATGCATGCCCAGAACATAGACACACGAACGCAGGTGCAACTGCAGGAACACACACTGAGGCGCACACACACGGTATGCACACATGCACTCACACAAAGACTGCCCACATGCACAGGGAACGAGCACACGCACTCATGGTATACACACATGTACAGGGCACGAGCACACGCACACATGGTATACACACATGCACAGGGCACGTGCACATGCACACAGTATGCACACATGCACAAATACACATGCACAGGGCACGTGCACACGCACACAGTATGCACACATGCACAAATACACATGCACAGGGCA